CGGCCTAGCTGAGCGGGCCCGGTGTCGAGGTCTGGTGCGAGCTGCATGTGAGGGGCGGCTGTGGCCACAGCAGGTCCACCAGACGGGCGTCAAAGCTTGCCGTAATCCTCGAATCGCCTCGGATGGGGTCCGCCGGAGACATTCTCGAGCCCTCTCCGTGCCATCACGAGCCGGTGTGAGCTTGAAGAGAGAAGACCCGAGGTAAGTGCGGTCTGGGACAGCTCAGGCTTGCTACTGATGGGCCTGGGCCAGGAGGGCGACAGAGAAGGCGAGGTGGTGCGCTGAGAGGCTCATCGGCGATTGTCGCGGCCGGGCAAAGACGGGGACGTAACTTCGCAGTTGGGGGCGACAAGCGGATGAGTCGTATTCTCCCACGAATTTACGGGAAATCCCTCGAATTCATCGACGCGGGCTCTCTCGGCTGCTACGGGACCGGCCCCACCGCTGCGGCTGAGGGCTGACAAGCTGCCGAGCCCAAATCACTCTGAGAGTGGTGATATTTCTGGTTGGTTTTCAAAAAATCTCTCTCCCAAAAAGAAAGAAAAAAGTGGTCAACGAGATGGGAGAAGGCCACAGATTCCCCACCTTGCAAAGGCCTCCGTGACAGGCGAGCGCAGTGGCGCGCGCCCAACGTCTCCCGCTCCACCCTCGGGAGTACCTGTACGCTAGACAGCGAAGGGCGGTGGCCAGTGCGCGAGCGAGGGGAGGGGGCGGGGGGCGGCGGGCGGGCAGGCGGGCGGGGAGGAGGGGAGGGGAGGGTGAGTGTGTGTGTCACACACACACACACACACAGGGGAGGGGTGGCTTAGCCATCAGCTGCTGTCGTCTCGAGCCGAGGCGGCGGCAGCCGCCGCAGCTGCACCGCCTCCCGTCGCGCCGCGGTCGCCGCCCCCTCAGCGCCGTCGCCGCGTCGTGACCCGCCGCCGCCTCGTGACTGACCGGACAAAAATTCTTTTCCGTAGTTGCGATGGAGCCGGCGGTCGAGCCGGTCGCCTTTTACTACACGGCGCAGGCCGGCGGCGGCGCCTCCGGCCCGTGCAGCATCGCCCAGCTGCGGGTGCTGTGGCAGAGCGGCCACATCTCGCGAGAGACGATGCTCTGGCGCGAGAGCATGCCCGCCTGGCTCAGGCTGGAGGAGGTGCCCGAGGCTTCGAGCGCGCTGCTCTCGCTGGCGCAGCCTCCGCCGGCGGCCGCCGCGCCGGTGGGCGAGTGGTACTACCTCGACGCCGACGGCCGCCAGCGCGGCGCGCTGACGGCGGAGCAGCTCGGCGTGCTGCTGCGCGGCGGCGACGTGGACGGGCTGACGCAGGTGTGGAGGAGCGGGATGGCAGCGTGGGCCGAGCTCTCCTGCGTGCAGGAGCTGCGCGCGCAGCTCCTCTCCGCAGCCGACGACGCCGAAGGCGACGACGCGGCGGCGGGCGGAGGAGGCGGAGGAGGCGGAGGAGGCGGAGGAGGAGGCGGAGGAGGCGGGGCGGAGGAGGCGTACGACCCGGACGAAGAGAGGGTGAGTGCGCGAGTGGCGGCGGCGGGCCGAGTGGCGCCGGCGGCAGGGTCCGCCTTGGCCAGCGGGGAGGCGGCGGGCGGCGGGGACGCCGCTACGTCGGCAAGCGGCGCGCAGGGCGGCGGCGAGGCCAAGCCGAAGCGGGTGAGATATCGCCGAGATGTAGCCGAGATATGGCGGAGGCGGCGCCGGCCAAGCCGAAGCGGGCGCGCAAGAAGCAGCAGCAGCAGCAGCAGCAGCAGCGGCGGCGGCGGCGGCAGCGGCGGCGGCGGCGGCAGCGGCGGCGGCGGCAGCGGCAGCAGCAGCAGCAGCAGCAGCAGCAGCAGCAGCAGCAGCGGCAGCGGCAGCGGCAGCAGCAGCGGCAGCAGCAGCAGCAGCGGCAGCAGCGGCAGCAGCGGTAGCGGCAGCGTCAGCAGCGGCAGCAGCGGCAGCGGCATGCAGCAGCAGCAGTAGCCGGCCTGGGCCGAGGGGCGGTGCGTGTCTCAACACGGCCGGACTTCACACCGTGGCGGTGGTGCGGGCAGGTGCGGAAGAAGAAGAAGCCAAAGTTCGTCGAAGGCGGAGGCAGCAGCGTGTACGTGTGCGGTCTGCCGAAGGGGGAGGAGGCGGCGGCTCCTTCCGCGGAGAGGAGAGTGCCCGAAACTGCCCGAGATCCCCCGAAATGACGTTTGGTAGGCGGCGGCGCTGTCCGCCGAGGTAGCAGAGAGCTTCAAGGTCGCCGGCGTGCTCAAGACGGACCCGGCGGGATGGAGCAGAGATGTAGCAGAGATGTCGCAGAGATGTCGCAGAGATGTTGCAGAGATGTAGCAGAGATGTAGCAGAGATGTAGCAGAGATGCAGCAGAGATGGAGCAGAGATGTCGCAGAGATGTCGCAGAGATGTCGCAGAGATGTGGCAGAGATGCAGCCGAGATGCAGCCGAGATGTAGCAGAGATGCAGCCGAGATGCAGCCGAGAGGCAGCAGAGAGCTGATTGATTAGTGAGTGAGTGTTGCCGGCGGTCTGCTCCCCTCTCTTCCGCAGGCGAGCGGCCAGCCTCGCGTCAAGATCTACTGCGCGCCCGGAGGCGAGATCGGCCCGAGATCGGCCGAGATCGGCCGAGATCGGCCCGAGATCGGCCGAGATCGGCCCGAGAGGACCGGCCCGTGAGGCCGAGGGGCTGGGCGGGGTCTGTGAGGGTGCCACGCTCGCGCCTCTCCCCAGGCACCTCCAAGGGGGACGCGCTGGTCACCTTCCTGAAGGCCGAGTCGGCGCCTCTCGCCGCCGCGGGGCCAGAGCACTCGAGATCGGCCCGAGATCAGCCGAGGTTGAGCCGAGATATCAGGTCCCTCTCGCCGTCACGCTGCGGGACGGGTTCGAGATGCGAGACGGCGCCTCCTGCTCCCCTCCAGCCGAGGCCACCCGCGGAGATCGCGCGAGGTTAGCTCGAGATGCGCCGAGATTAGGCGCGGCACTCAAGGTGCAGCCGGCGCGCTTCGAGATGCGAGGCGAGGCGCTGCAGCAGCAGGCAGCGAGGGGAGGCCGGCGGTGACTCCGCGTGAACTCGGTGCGGGTCCTCATTGAAGCACTGACTCAAAAGGCGCGAAGCAAGGACGACGCGCAGATCGCCCGCAAGAAGCAGCGCCGCCTCGAGCAGAAGGCGCTGTTCACAGCTGCAGTGCCCCGCCGCGGAAGAGGCGCTGTTCACAGCTGTGGTCTGTGAACAGGCCCTCGCGGAGTGGGACGACTCGCAGCTGCCGGCGGGCGCGAGCGCGACCATCGTCGTTCTCCTCGGCCTCTTCGACACCTCCGAGGCGGACGCCGCGGACGTGCAGCTCCCTGCTGCCCGGCTGGTGCACCGCTCCGTGC